TGTGTGTGTGTGTGTGTGTGTGTGTGTGTGTGTGTGTGTGTAAATACGTGTGTAAATATGCATGAGTGCGTGTGCGTGCGTGCGTGAAGTTGCGCGCACAAGGAAAGAGAAAAAACTGACAAAGAAAACCAAAACGGAAGTCAGCAGAGTTGCAGAACTACAGAGAAGCAGGCCGAGCATAACAGTTTCTTCATAACCGTTGCACATTATCGAAAGACAAATCCACCACCAGCGTCGAGACCTCATTGTATAGAATTTTGTATTGTCGCAGCCTGTGGGCCTTTTTCATAAGCAAGGAATCATAATTATGAGAGTGTCCCTTTTAACTAGTCTTATTAAGTATTATATATGACGATTTAAAAAAAGAAAGGAACCAGAACATTCAACATCCACAGAAAAACAGAATGATGTTGAACATCAGAAACGGGCGGAGCATGAGGATGGCACATTTTTTTCTGATGTTCAGTTAAACCTACCATCTTTCCTGAGATTATCAAATATTGCGCCTTTTGATAAACACAGGCCTACACTTACTTTTTTTTAAAACAAAGATATTTAAATATGTGGACAGGAAAAAATGACAATTTTCTTTCTTTTTTGAACGTTGGTACTGTGAACACCCACTGAAGAACCGAAATGTTGTTTTTATGACAAGATCTACTTAGTAGAATACTACTTATCCATTACTCATGTGAAAGGAAAAGCGTAAGCACTTCAAAGACTCGATTTATTACACAACCAAAGAGTGGCACCTCTTTCTCTTTATTTTTTTTTTAAATCGCCAGTATATAGATCTATATGCTGGCAATTTCAACTGTAGGACAGCTGACGACCTGAAGCCATACATCTATTTAAATATAGATCTAGTTTAATTATGTGGTTTCGACGCAACTTAACTTATGGCAAAATGGTCCCTTTTTAGGCTTTACAAAGTATATATTACATTCACCTATTTTTTTTCTCCTATTACCATAAACAAAAAATTCTTAAAGTTTCATACCACAGACTTTAGACAAACAGATAAACATTCGGAGAAATAGGTACACCCACAATTCGATAGCCAAACATAATAATAGACCAACAAACATGATACAAATTAACTTACAGAAAGGGAGGGGGGTAGACTAAGAGGCACACAAGCAGACAGACAGTCAGACAGAAAACAAACAAACGGACAGAGTATCAAGTTGATAAACAGACTACTAAAATGAACATTATCTATAAATTCTACCGAACAAGGTCAAAAATGAAATGAACGCAATTTTCAAAATAAAATGCGACGAGCATGTTACTTTGTTTGTTTGTTTGTTTGTTTTCACTCTTCTAATCAATCTCCATCAGACAGTCTTGGCTCAGGGGGCTCTTGTGGCCTAGAGGTTAAGGTGTTGGCCTCTCATTCAAAGGTCCTGGGTTCGATTCCGGGTAGTGACCAAAAAATTTTCTTCTCTAAAATTGTCTCCTTTCACCTCCTTTCCTGTTCTCTAGCAATGTTCTGTTGTCTGCTTTCATTTCCACTTTCTGCTCCCACCCACTCACCTCCTTTGCCCCCTCCTTTGGGCTCCTGACTCTTTCTGCAGTATTTCTACTGCTACTCCTTGGCTCCTTCTTACTGCTGTCTTTCTGCCACACCCATGATCTTCTGGTTTTCCTACCACCTAGCCTTCTCAGACAAGGGCCAAAAAATCTCGGAGGGCCCGTGTGCAAGTTGGGCACGTTGGGCACGTTAAAGATCCCTTGGTGGTCTAAAATCGATAAGAGTAGGCTTCGGCCGCCACCCGGGCAAAATTCAAAATTTCCTACCAACTGAAAATATTAGGTGTGTCCCGCGCGCTCATATGACCTTATGCAGTTGCGAGCCCCGCAAAACACTTTACCCAAAAAAAAAAAAAAAAGTCTTGGCTCACGATAAAAACATCGTGAAGACAGAAACGAGACCTTTGTGCACAAGATAGGGAGTGAAGACTAGAAAGCAAAGGACATAACTCGGAATAAATCAAGAGTCCACATGAAAAACAAGAGTTGTCTTACCTGTCCAAGCCCTGGATGCTGTCGTCCAAGTCCGGGTCTCCAATCCTCCCGATGTGTATCTTTATTAATTCAACGGAGCTGTGAAGGTCCAGAAAAAGAAAACTTAAATAATGTCCATATTCACCATTTGTAGTTTGTTCGTTACTTTATAGTTTGATCGGAGAGAAGCGTATTCACAAAATAACCGTTATTTAGAGCACGGGAAAAGAAGAAAAACAGACAAAAACAGCAGATGGGAAGGAAAAAAATATACGACATATCACTAATGCCCTCTAATCATCCACATTATGAATATGCCACAACGATTCTGGCCTTGAAAAATGAAATGGAGAACAAAAAAATGCCTCTGTTTTTCAAATGAGAAAAATCACCAAGACAAAAAATTACGGTAGGCCTATACATTGTACATGTAAAACATTTTTTTCGAGAGTCCAAATGAGGGCTATTCATAGGGATTACTTCATGAAAAAAGCCTGCACTGGAAATTTGAGGGATAGCAGTATGCATTGAAATGATTCGCCACCTAAGTGTCTAAAAAAACAAAACAAAACAACACAAGAATTTTAAACTACTCAATGCATAAAACTGAAATTTTGCATAACTTTTCGACAAAACTGAGAAGCATTTCAGTTTTTAAAATAATAAATATACAGACTGGACGAGGAAGTCAGAATACAGCTTCATGAGACAGACTATAGTTTCAGAAAATTACCTTAAGTGGTATACAACAGTCCGAGGGGGCAACTGGCCATGAAAAAAATCACAAACTTTTTAGACCACACAGAGAAACACTCTTGCATGGATCCAAAGAGTACAGATCATATTGTATTGTTTAATGCACCTTGTATCAAACTTTTTATAGAAGGTGCAAAATCTGGAAAAGTGCAGGAATTCAGACTTACATATGTAAGGCATCATGGTATAATCAGGCTCTTGTCGAAATAATGAAATCGAAGAAACCAGCATTTTTCTGGCCTTGTGGCATTTTTTTTTCTTCTAATTTTCTTCTTTTTTTTTATTGGGGGGGGGGGGGGCTCAACACCATTTATGTGTGGATTTTACTGAAAAGCAATGATTAAAGGCACAAAAATTGTAAATTTTCAGTTTACAAGGACTCTTAAGCTTTGGAAGTTACCAAACTTTGGGGGCCATTTTCTCATTAATTCTACTTCTAAAACCAGACAACCCTCCCCTCCTTCAGTCGCAAATATATCGACTTCTATTCAACATAGATGGGCATTTTTTCACCAAAAGCAAGGCAAATGAACAGGATTTAAGATGATACCAATAATCCCATTTACCCAAAAATTGACAAAGGCCTGATTCCACCACGTCATGCCACATATTTATACAGAAAATCTGCACCACTGAATGTAATGGCTATAGACATACCATGATCATGGAATTTGGTAAACCTGAGGGTCGTAGTACAACAGTGAAATCACTGCCATTTATAACCCTGATAGTAATTTTGTCTGACAGCTCGGCATGGGTAGAACACAACAGATAACACACTCAATATTTTAAGTAAAAACATCTGGTGCCCTGATTGGTGGGGGAGGGGGTGGAGGAGGTCCCTCATTATTTAAAGGACCTTGTATCATCATCTTCTTCTTCTTCTTCTTCTTCTTCTTCTTCTTCTTCTTCTTCATCTTTTCCCACGCTCATATGACCTTAGCAGTTGCGAATGCCGTAAAGCCCTAACTACTACTACTTCTCATCTTTTTCTCCTTACAGCAACTCTGGTACAGTGGTCAGGCACTTCACCGTCCAATTCAGAAGAAATGAATTTGTTGTGTGCAGAATTAAAAACTTTAAAAAAAAATCAGCCTACCTGCTAGGACATTGTATCCCTCCTTGTCTGGGTACACCTTGACAGGCAGAGTAGAAGCAGGCAGACAGATTTAAATTGTGTCAATGGTGGCGTAAAACATCTAAAATTAAAATTCTTCCTCTCTTTGTTCTCTTCTTCTTTTTATTCTTTTTCTTTTTTTTTCTATTTCTTCTTTTTCCCGTTTTTGTCTTCTTCCTATTCCTCTTCTTGCACAAATCAAAACCAAACCAAAAGTAGAAAGTAGTTATCATTTGATCCCTTACTCACCTGACATCACTGACCGGATGACACATGATGTAGAGGAACTTGCAAGGAAAATATTCTTGGACATATGCCGTCCAGATGCAGCCCAAATCTTCATCTGTGAATCTAGAGATAAAGTTAGGAATAACAAACCTTACGAACAGATCAAAACGATAATGGAACGTGGGGAGAAGGGTGATCAGTAGGGAAGGTGACCACTTACATTTAATGCTCTATCAGCCATCTGTCTCAGACAATCACCTGTACAGATGACTACTCCTCGCCTTAACTTGCGTTTAAACTCTGTTATAATAATAATAGTCTGAAAGGACCAGCTGTTTAAGATGACCAATTTTCTCCTCGACAAAGTGTAGTCGTTCTGGACAGGTTCTATTGTACTGGGATTAGATTACACTACGGATGGGAGCACAGGCCTGAACTATCTTTTAACTTTCAGCGCAAAATGAACATACACCTCAGCACACAGTGCAGAAATTCTCAGTCTACACAAGGAAGCTCACGAAGTGTTTTTCTTAATACCAACAAATATCTTCCATCCATTTCTTTTTCTGTGCTGAACAGTAAACACCCTCAAACCCCAGTGTCAGGCTCATCTTTATAAAGACTTATATTTGTCTAGTAGGAGGTCAAATTCATAGTTTAAAAAAAGTGGTTCACATTGACTACATTTACACAATACCAGATATTCACTGTGACAAAAAAGAAAAAGAAGGCAAGCTAGTAACAACAAAGAATAGTGCAGAAGTAAGACCTTCTAGCGCTGCCCAGATTTCAATTTTTTAAATTTTATTACTATGTGGCGCATCTACAAATCCTACACATGCTTAGACCCTGTGCCCTTGGATATAATTATTTTTCACTCTAAAGAATGATTGATAAAACCTTAGGAAACAAATAAAACCTTGTCTACAGTAGTGCTGGGCGGTTAGGTTCCCGGTTATTGAAAGTTAGGAATCGTAGGAATCGACTCCGAACCCAATTACTTTCTTTCAAATGATGTGGTTTCTTCGGGTGGTTACCTGTTCGTTGGCTCCGAACATCTTCAGGGTTTATGGTAATATTGCTTTCGGAACACGACGATGCATCAACTTAAAAAAAATTAATTTAAAAAATAAAAGAAGATCTTAATGATCAAAGTAACTGATAACCGCTGGTTTACATAAAAAGGAGTCGGAATTTTTCTTACGTAGCATTAATCGTGGGAATCTGTTCCGGAATCGATCCTTCGCCCAGCTCTAGTCTACAGAAGTTAGCAAAACTTTTTATGCTAAGTACGACTTTTAAAGACACCATATGTGGCTACAAACCTCCCAACTTGTACACTTAAGACTACAAAACTAAAGCAGAGTTTTTTATGAAATATTATTTTAAAAATAATATATCTGTACAGTCAAAAGAAAAAAAAATTGTTCACAGTAACCTTTCTGGTCTTCTTAGTCCAAGAGCCGGGTCTATATAAAGTACTAGAACCTTGTTTTTCATCATAAAGTTTTTTTCTTTGGTGATTTTGCTTCCTCGGGGTCTCTAGACTTCATATCAGTCGGGGGCCAACTTGTATCTTATGGGCATAATTTTTTTTCTGCTGGTTGAAATACACCAACCCGTACCATGTAAGAATGATGAAGGAGCGACTAATGCTGGGCAATGAGTCGCTTTACCAAAATCAGGATAATATGTTAGTACACCTCTTCGGCAAATAATATGTTATGAACCGCTTCGGCAAAATCTCTTAGATAAACAGGTTAGCATTACTTCATCAACAAATGGGTACACTCACTGCGGCAAACGGGTCAGGAAAGAGAGTTTAGAGTCTGAATTCGGATATTTCATTTAGAATTATCCGGTTATCCGGATAGTTTATCTGGATTTTGCCCACCTCTACCATGTGCGAGTTGACCAAGATTCGCGCGAGGGTACTAGATCTAGGCGTAACACTAATAGCTCCTCTCGCCGTGATGTCACAGGATGCTCCGAAAGGTGCACCGCACGGCCTGCTGTAATATGGACTCAGCTAGCAAAGGAAGGAGACATTGGCAGACAGTGCTTCGTCACACCACACCTCCGTAGAAACAAAGAATGTAGGAAACCGCTACGTCACCACGAGGACGTGATGCGATCAGGCTGGTTCATGCAACATGCACACACACAGTGTCTCACTCAGTTACTTTTAAACTCATACGGATGCGATAAAGAACCCACCGGTGATCAAATCGAGACGGATTAGTGGTCTACTAGAAGCAAGTTGGCAACGAGATGATGGACTCAGTCAGAGACTTTCAGATGATGCTGAGTTTATACTGCGTCACAAGAACTGTGTGAGCACACATTGTACCAGAGACCATATTAAGCGATTTTTACTAAAGCAAAAGACTGAGGAACTTTCTGAAGAAGAACTCAAACGTCATAGGGGCAGTACTAGTTCGTTTAATTTTCACGAACATTTTTTTTGTGGAGAAGCATGCTGACTGATACTCCCGAAAACACCCAGATCGTTGGAAAAAGCCTACTTATTATGCCGAACTGGAGAGGAGAAAGGGAGGAAGATCACCAAAGAAGAACTACAAAAAAACGTGTCAAGGAACGTGGGGACAAATGGGGAATGGATGTCAGCTTCCGTGTGTCATCAACAGTCAGTGATTTGGCAGACGCTAGGTATCAGAGAGACTGCCACTCCTGGTTCTACACAAACTATCCAACGCAATCAACTAGCTCACCTACGAAGCATGACTATGTCTTCGGTACGCTGGTTGACGGCATTCGATGAAACAACTCACGAATGTGGAATAGTGTGGAAGTCCTGAACCATGTATCTGAGAAGCTACATCCAAAATTGCTGATCCTGTCTCACCAGGTGTGGCTTCCATCCTCTTCTTCAGGAGCACGGCTTCAGTCTAGATGCGTATTGTAAATGATGAAGGAGACTGCAATGGACGAGCCATATCATGCTTGGTTAGTGTGGTCAAAGCAGAATGTTCAAAGCCCAATCGCCATACGTACCCAACTCGTCTGCCTAGGGGATTTGTCATGAATGAGTGCAGCCTTTGCTATCGCTCCTTGCAGCCACAGACCCCAAACTGGATTCTACACTGCCAGCAGCAATGATCGGCCACACTGTTACGAGTACAGTCAGCAACTATTTCACAAACTTGCAACTTGGACTTTGTGTTCTGTTGAGTCGACAGAGGAAATTTATAGACGAGCTTCACACGTATGGAGTCACCACCTCATGCGACGAACTAAGGCGCTTTCGGTGTTCAGCTACTGTTGCTATGGCATCTGTTCCAAGAGGACTGGCCTACTTTGACAGTAAACATGGACTTGTTCAAGTTGTAGCTGACAACTTTGACACGCAGATACCATCTCCAAAAGGCCAAAAATCAACGCACGGCTCAGCAAAGATACTGGCACAAGCCAACACGCAGAAGTCAGAGCAGGTGTGGGAAATGAAAGATATTCCAGCCATCAGGCGTCTCAGCAAAACAGAAACCAAGTCCGATAATCTGACACTTGGTGACGTTGCAGTTCAACGGTACACAAGAAACACGAAACCACTTATGCCGGAAGAACTGAGCCTGCGACATGTCTCATCTCTGGTCTTTCTTACCACACGACAGGCTTCTCTGAATAGAACTGCAACTCAAGATCTGCCATTTTTTAAACAGGCACTCGGCAAAGATGCAAGACCTGAGTATGGAGGTTATAACACACAACGTACCTGCAGTGCAGAACAACAACCCCAACCAAAGACAGATGTGATGTACAGCCCATTCCTGGACATTATCCCATCTGAGCGAGACAGCTCACTGGTCATAGATGGACAATATTCACCAGTGACTACCAGCTGTGCAAAGAACTTGTCCACAAGGAACAGTTTCAGAAGTTCATCCCAAGAATTGGTGGTATGCACATGTTGAGGAGTTTTGTTAGTGCTGTGGGATACCTGATGGGAGGAAGTGGCATTGAAGACCTACTTGGCTCTGCATTTGTGGGAGTGCCAAAAATGTTGACCCGGTAAAAATACCCACAAAATGTAAAAGCATTGAGACTTCTTGTTGAGTAGTTACTGCGACCCATTCTCTCCAAAACTAACGTGCACACCATGGCTGCACTCACGCAATGTCTCGTCACCAAAAGCACCCAGAGCAAAACCACCAAACTTTGGGTTGAGTGCTCCTTGACCCAGTGTTCATTATGATGGCCTTTGTTCGGGCTGAGAGAGAAGCTGACTGGACTCTTCACTTGTTTGCTGTGGAAAAGATGTTCCCCTACATCTTTGAGCCTGGAACGTCAACTATGCTCGCTACTGTCTTTACTATCTCCGATCCATGCAGCGCCTGCATCCACACGGTTTTGATGAAATACTTTAAAGTAATATTGTAGTCTATATATAAATATATATATATATATATATATATATATATATATATATATATATATATATATATATATATGTGTGTGTGTGTGTGTGTGTGTGTGTGTGTGTGTGTGTGTGTGTGTGTGTGTGTGTGTGTGTGTGTGTGTGTGTGTGTCGCCCTCTGCCACGAGGAAGAACTTATCCATGCGAGGTCGTGATCTTAATGCGACGATTTCAAGTGTATTGCGGATCAGCACATTTATGAAAACTATATGGCGGCCATCTTGTTTTCTTTGAAGTTGCCATTTTATCGAATATTTGAAGTGTATTTCATCAAGAGTGGTTACTTTTGTCACACTGAATGCTATTTAATGAAGTTTGTACATTTTTATGTCTTTAAATAAAAGTTTAAATGCATGATATCCCTCACAACATCTTTTACTCGAAATTCTTTGGCGGCCATCTTGGATTTTCACTTTTAAACAAAAATGCCCAAAGTTTAGCATTTGGCCCCCATTAGATTTGAAATCAGCAATGAAAACTGTTAAAATCACCAAAGAAAAAAACTTTATGACGCAAAACAAGCTTTTTCATCTGGCGCTCGGACTATCTGTACAATAAGTGAGCAGGTCAACAACATAACCTTTACATCAGTTGATTGTCAACACAGTTTCACATTTCAAAATATTGAGCATGAAATACATATTTACTCTAAAAGCCCATTGCAATTATCCAAATTAATTAAATAAAT